ATATTGCTTTACATATTTTACTTGAAAATGAGGAAAAGCTCTATATTATCCTAGAAATAGTTTTTGGAGAAATATTTTTCTTCAGTTTACAGCAAACCAGCTATTTAATACTTTAATAAATATGAAGATAACATTGATCACTCAATCATATAAAACTCTGAAAAGAAAATGCAATGAAAATTGTAGAATATGAAGGAGATAAGAGGAGTATTTCATCTGTACTTTCCTGAGACTTTTACTAAGAGCTAAATGCAGTGAAGGAAGGTTAAAAAGATTTAGGATTGCCACAAAACTAGTCTTGCCTGGATCATATGATAAAGTAGCATATGACCAATGTCATACATTTTAATTCTGCAGTGGGAGTTTTATCTGGTGGAGATATTTCTATACATTCGATGAAATTCTTTTCTTTTTCAAGTATATCTCATTTTGGATCATTTAACTTTAATGTTGTTGTCTTCAGCCTGAATTTAATGAAAGCAATAAAGCTTGAATGTAATATTTTACTCAGAAGGCCTTTCTTAGGATATTCCGTTTAGAGGCCATTTTCCTTATAAAAAGGGAAACACTCTCACTGCCTTGGAGCTCTTAAAGTGAAATGGAAGACACTTTTCCAGATATGAACTCCATATTGGCCTACAATTTTTGTTTGCCCATCTCTTCTCTCCACAAACAAATGCATTTCTAACATATTTCACCTTTGTCCATTTTTCTTGCTATAACCAGGTACCTTTCAATTTTCAGATTCAAAATTGCCAACTTTCTTAATTTAATCTTAGACATAATGAAATATTTGAGTTTCTGCTACAGAGTTCGGAGCTTACGTCCAGACACAAGCTAATGGTTTAAAGGAGCTTAATGAAGAAACATTTCTTTCATGAAGAGAAAGATATAGAAAACTTTACAGAATATTTACTATCTCTTCATGCACAAAGGAATTTAAGTATTTGCACATTGGGTGTATACTAAGAAGTTTAATATGTAAACCAAGTGACAAAAGGCAATAGGTCTACATAACTTTCATCTGTAGTGAACCTCAGCTTAATAAGAAAAAAATACAATGATTCACACACAGAGGCAGAGAGTATAGTCCAGTCGTAAAGTACTTTTCTAGTTTGCAAGAGGTCATAGGTTCTTATGTAACAAAGTTTACAGAAAAATACTAATTCAGTAAAAAAGAATGCGTTAAACTAATATACAAAATATTTAAACATGCAGAGCTTACATAAGAAAGAACAAGTAAAAAACATAGCTGCGTTATTTGAAAAAGGACAGTTAGTACTGGCTAGGGGAAGGGTGCTACTTTTATCTCTGGTGTAACCATATACAATTTGCCCATGTTCTAGAGAATAACCTCCCATTCAGGCTTATGCAGAAATACCATCTAAACTCAGTGAGTCATACATGTTCAAAAGATTTAAAAGTAGATGGCCACTTTCATGGAAGAAGTTTAGCCTTGTGGTGATGGTGCATCTCACAGCGTTTGAGTGGGTTTTCAAAGTCCCAGGCCAGAAGCTCAATTCTGGGGAGAGGGAAATCCCAATAAATCATATCCAGCATCTCACTCCCAGAAAGCAAAGGAAAACAGTAATGTTTAAGGCAGGAAATAAATTTAATACTTAACATAATCATATGAGACAACAGTACAATAATCTTTATCTCCATTTGGGGGCAACTGGTATAAATATTGGATTAAACGGGGGAAGAACTGAAACAGGGGTATGCATAGGTACTAGCATGATCAGACCATGGTCTTGTTGAACTTTTTTCCCATTCTTATTATAAGGGGACTCTGAGAATCATTGTTTGAAGGAACAAGCAACTGTTGCTTGTTCCATCCTGAAATGGTTGCTCTTTCATAGTAGAGCAGGCTATATTCTCGTTATGGGGCAGTTGTTCCCATATAGGGCCCCTGTTCTCATTACTGGGCAGTTGTTCCCATTTATGGGGTGTTTCCCTAATTAGAAAGAGCAATTTCATGAAGAAGTTACCAGTGTGACTGCAGGTTTCAGGTAATGACTTGAGGATTTTTTAGTATATTCCAGAAGTCAGGGGAAAAATGCTGTAAATACCTCTACAATTTTTTAAACTTTAGTTATTATCATGGTATCTTGTGCCTTAAAAGAAGGACATTATCAGTTTCTAATAAATATTCCTTAAATGACTAACATACCCACATGCAGAGATGAGCAGAAATCTGACTGTAATAAGACAGATACAAAATAAATGTATAAATGCTAAAATATCTCAACAGCACGAGAGGTAGTTATAATGCTTCCCCTAATTACAATATCAGGGACACTGTTTTGATTGTGTGATAAAATGAAGGATCTTTCTGTTTTATGTTCTAGTGAATGTTGTGATCTACATAAAACTAAGAAGCAGCAGCAAATCTCTCATGTTAATCAAGCCTATTTGATGTTAAGGCAGAGTGACCAAACTCCGGAGGGAAGCATGATTTGACCTTGCTAGAATTGGCCTAATGGTAGAAAAGAACTTGATATAAAAATCCCTGAAGTCGAGAAAACCTTTCACAGATAACTTTTTATGAGGAGTTTAAAATGTCAAAGCAAAGGTTGTAGTGTCATCCACAAAGAGCAAGAGGTTTGATGGAAATCTATATTACATAGTTTCAGTACAGATTTATGCTGCATGGAAAAATCAGAAACTTCTCTGGGCAGGTGCCAACGCAGAAGTTTGGATCCAATTTTCCTATTGTGATATTGGTGATTGCCCCTGAATATTAAACTTTATATTTATAAAAAAAATCTGCAAAGTAGCCGGGCTGTGGTGGCGCACGCCTTTAATCCCAGCACTCGGGAGGCAGAGGAAGGCAGATCTCTGTGAGTTCGAGACCAGCCTGGTCTACAAGAGCTAGTTCCAGGACAGGCTCCAAAACCACAGAGAAACCCTGTCTCGAAAAACCAAAAAAAAAAAAAAAAAAATCTGCAAAGTAGCTTGGCTACTTGACTCCTATTCTGTCATCACATTGACCCCTCATCCACAGTGACATCACATTAGAACTTTAGTAACTCATGTTACTTAACCCTAAAGCTTTCATACTATGGGATTTTAGTTATATCGGAGAAACTCTGTTATTTCTAGCAAAAAAAAAAAGAGTATCTTTTGAATACAATGAAATTGAGACATAATCCAAACAAGAATATGTTGTTGAAGTTTCTTTTACTCTAATCCCATGTTGGAATGCTAAAATGTTGATGTTTGTTTGTTTGTTTTTGCCTTTGGCTTTTTGGGAGACCTGTGACCCAGCTCCCAAATAAATCACACACAGAGAGACTTACACTTTCTTATAAATGTCCGGCCTTAGTAGGCCAGTTTTTCTTAAAATTTCCTACATTTTGCCTCTGCTTTTACCTTCCTCTATTTCGGTTTTCTTGCTTTCACTCTTACTCCATGACTGGTTGGGTGGTTGCGTGGCTGGTCACTGTCATTCTCCTCTCCTTGTTCTCTCTTGTTCCTTTTTCTTTTCCCAGAGTTCTCCTCCTATTTATACTCTATACTTCCAGCCCCATCTATCCTTTCTGCTGCCTCACTATTGGCTGTTCATCTCTTTATTAGACCATCGGGTGTTTTAGATTGGCAACAAATCATAGCTCCACAGAGTTAAACAAATGCAGCATAAAAAAAGCAACACACCTTTAAATAATTTTCTAAAAGAATAATGAGTGATTAAGTAATTGGAAAGTTACTCTGTAGATGTGTATTGGCCACTTTTGTCATTACTGTGATAGCAAGCCTTACTGAAAGGGAAGACTGATTTATTTTGACTTATGGTTCAGAAGATATCAATATTAATAAATCCATCCAACTGTAAGGTTACTGGACTGATCTTGCTCTTCGGTGGTGAGAATGCTGGGCAGGTGTTATAAGATGTCAACAAAGTATTAGATGTATCCAACACACTGGAAGCAAGACCACCTAAAAGTCTAAAGCCCTACCTCTAGGCAATCTACTGCCTTTAGCAGAATCACACATTCTAAAGCAACTGTTCTCAAACTTCCTAATGCTGTGACTCCTTAATACACTTATTCATGTCATGGTAACCCCCAACTATAAAATTATTTCCATTGCTATTGCTTATCTATAGTTTTGTTACTGCTATGTATCATAAGTTAAATATCTGTTATGCAAATGGTCTTAGGTGTGAAAGGGTCATAGGACCTCCAAAGGGGTTGTGACCCACAGACTGAGGGTTACTGTTTTAACTGTTGTACAACCTCCCCAAACATGTCACCTCCTAGAGACTAAATATTTATTTATAATAAACATATAAACCTGTAGGACACACATTACATAAAAATCATGGCACAGTTATGACACCTCCCTCCTCTTTGTAGTAAATCAATCCCAATATATACATTAATCCCATTCTAGGACAAATTCATGATTCATTGCAATTCTCAATGAGTTAGGGATCTGACTTCCAGGCCACATACTTCTGAAGCAGAATCAGGAAAACATTCACATGCTTAATATAGTTTTTCTTTCAGTTAGGTTCACTTGTTTATTTTTATTTTATATTTAAGTTACTTTTCTAAGAAATTTCTGTCAAAAACTTTACTCATTCTAAAATATTCTAAAATGAATAATATTATGGTTAATACATAAAAACATGCTGAAATGTATTATCAAAAATGGGAAGTAGATGCTAGAGAAATGACTCAGAGGTTAAGAGCACATGCTGCTTTAAGAAGACCTAAGTTCAGTTTTTAGCACTCACATTAGACAGTTTACAATTGCCTATCACTTCAGCATCAAAGAATCTGATGCCTTCTTCTGGCTTCTTTGGGCACACACACACACACACACACACACACACACACACACTAAAAATAATAAATGAGAAAAAATTGTGGAAAATTATTTCCCTGATTCTTCAATATATCTTTCTTTGTTCAAGTCCTATCAGCTTCTTGGGGGACATTCAGGAAGCATTTTTCCACTACCTTTCCCGTCCTGACATGTGTGCTCATTTTCAGAGCTGGAGGCTGAGGAGTGGTGCAAACACCTTTGCATGGAATGCCTGGGGACAAGGCTGAACGATATCAGCCTAGGGGAGCCTGACCTACTGGCAGCAGGCGTGCAGCGGGAACAGAATGGTGAGTGACTACCTACTTTTCTACTGTGTCAGGTGGACTTACACTGGAATGGAGTTCAGAGATGTCTGAGAACGTTCATGCTATGAAGAGTTTAAGGATATGACTGCTGATGATTCCTGTGAAAGTCACACAGGCAATAGAATGAGCAGAACAAGCTGGAAATGATGGGTGGGTTATAAAAATAAATGAAGACATACAGTTTGGTGGTTATAGAGTCTGGGAAGAGATGGGGGAGGGGAGTGAATATAATCAAAACACAATATACGGGATTCTTAAAGAATTCCTAAAAATATTGAAAAAAGAAAACAACTTTATCAGCAGGTTGTTTAGAAATTTTTAGTGATGTAGCAACTAGAGAAAGTTCTAATATTCAATCCAAGTTCCTGGTTTCTTGTTAGTGAAAAAGCCATATGCCTAAAAACTTAGGTAGGTATTATACTGTGTACATATGGTCTCTGAATGAGTAACATTTTTATCTCCTTCTTTGATGTCTAATATACATTAAATTATTATATTAACAAATTTGGATTATCTTTTTGTTAAATCTTTATTTTTTTGGTTTTTCGAGACAGGGTTTCTCTGTGATTTTGGAGCCTGTCCTGGAACTAGCTCTTGTAAACCAGGCTGGTCTCGAACTCACAGAGATCTGCCTGCCTCTGCCTCCCGAGTGCTGGGATTAAAGGCATGCACCACCACCGCCTGGCTTTTTGTTAAATCTTTTAGAGTATTTGGCTAGTAATATGACTGGTGGGAAGGTAGTTTATGTGTTTACATAATACAAAACTGTTTAATTTCACAGGGGTGACTGCAATCTCATGATAATTCTAGTTTCACAGTCTTAATTAGTACTGCTAATGAAACCAGCTTCATCTACTAAGATACTGTCCAATGGAATATTGTAGGCTATATCTGCAATGACTTTTAATTCATCATCAGTACATTTTATCTAACTGAAAAATTATTATCACAAGTATTATAACCTATGTGGTGATTATTCATTTGAAAAATCCTGAAGTTAAAACTGCTTTTTCTAATATAACTAACCAGCAATAATGACTTTTATCTCAATTCAATAAATAACTCATTTCGTTTTATTTCAATGGTAAGATTTATTTTATTATTGTGAATAAGGTATAGATAGTTTTAAACATCCTTGATTAGGATTATTATATACATAGGACACTAAAATATAAATCATTTGGCTAAATGACAATTTTTTTTCATTTCTAGATTTGTTGCTTGTGTTAATGATAAATCTAGAACCACAAAAGTAGAAGATTTTCAATGATGTTCAATTAGTATCATAGATGAAGCTAGCTCCGGCTTTTTAAAAGAATTTGTAGTATATAAATTAATAGCCCTGGTAAAAGCATGTCATGAGAGCCTTTGGTGATTATAATGTTGTTGCATGTTGTTAACAAACATCATTATCTCATAGTCTATAAAAAAGACTGTGTTTTTGTAACTAAAATGAGAAACCAGATAATTTCTTTATGACTGATCAAAAATGTATATACATTTATATTATGTATATTATGCTGCCTTTTTGGATAGATTTTAGAATCATCAAAAAATTTTTGCAACTCTTGTTACCTGCATTATTTGGTACTAGATTCTAAATCATATATAATTTTTCTAAATATAATGTGTTTTATTGTCAATTGCATACTTAGATTTACACTTGTTGGGACTGTTTGGAGTCCTGACCTCCAGCTGCTCTTCCCTGGTAGTGACCTTTCCTTGGCCTTCTGATTTGTGCTACTGAAAGCTGTGTCCAGCTCTGCTTCCCGAGCATGTGTTGCCTTGTCCTTGATTGAGGATCAGGAGATGAGGTTTTCACCTGCTGGCCCACATGACTGTGTTGGGTATATAAGCCTCTGTGGAGTTATTCAATAAGGGGTTTCTTTACCAGTGACTAGAGGTGTGTGTCTTTGTCTGTGCTGTCTCTGTGTGTCTTTGTGTGTTTCAATCTCCAGCCCCTTGCCCGAGGCTCACGAATGCCGCAATACAGGAGTAGTACCGTACTGTCACGTAATATAGGCGGGCGCTAGATACACTGAACCTTTCCTTCTGAGAAATATGGACTATAGGCTTGCAGACTCGACATAAAATACAAAAACTTTAATGAATTTTGTGGTGATCTCACACTATTCTTTAATGAAGTAGAGATGAACTACTTTGTTTTGACTGCTTCAACATTTTTTTTGCTTTCAAATTGCTATTCCTCTACTATTATCCTAACTCTTCATACAATTTGATCTTATTTACTTCTAGGCTAGCTAAGAATAGATATTTATGGAAATAATTTTAAAGGTGAAAGAAAATATGGGTGCTAGATAAAAGTGGTTGCTAAATTCTTTACTGTGATTATCTTATCTCATGCTGTCAACTGCTTTCCCAGTGACTCAAATACACCTCTCTGTCTGTCTGTCTCGTGTGTGTGTGCGCGTGTGTGTGAGTGTGCGTGTGTGTGTGTTCCTCTCTAACAAACCTATTCCCTGACCTCCAACAATGTTGCTGAGAGAAAGAGAGCATGATAAATAGGCATTTTTAGCTTTAATTTTTTTCAAATTTCCTAGTCTCCAGATCACAAGCATTTCTTCAGATACCTAGAGAATAGTAAGGCATTAAAAACAATAAATTGTCCTAGAATGATGACATGCATGTATAGAACATCATGTCTCAGTTGTACAATAGTTTCCTCTGAGATTGAAACAATCCATCCCGCAGGGTTAAGCAAGAAGGGTAAACAGCTCAAAATAGTTTCAAGAAGTCTTTCAAAATGATAAAATTCACCAGGCTCCTCTGTGACAGAGTAAGCAATCTGGGAGTGCCCCTGACAGTGTAACCAAGCTGCAAAGAAGACTCTTAGACAAGTCAACCTGCAAAGAAAACCCCGAGACCAGACCAGCTGCCTGGAAGATGTTTAGATCAACTGGATCAGTTGGAAAGACACTCTCCAACCTGTTAAGATATCTGTAACCTGAGAAGCGTGAAGCAGGTGCCCAGGTTTTGTGAACTGTTACCCCTTCTAGGGTATGTTTTGGTGATGCAGCTGACTTTCAGTTATTATTGCTCCAGTAAGTAACCTTTCACCATATTTTTGTAAGTAACCATGATAAAACTCATTGGTTCACCAAGTTGGAATCTGATGCTATCCATACTTTGGTTCATAACACACTCAAGATTTGATTTAATATGGGTGCAATTAAAGACAACTCTTTCTTACACTAATGAATGACTATAAAAAGAAATCAGCCAGATTCATCAAAAAAATCAAATTTATGAATGCCAAAATCACCATAATATTTTTAGGTGAAGTAAATAAAAAAAGGAATTCACAGATGGAGGAAATTAGCACTCTGCTAAAGCTGGCTTCTGCCAATTCACAAGAACCTACTATTATAGGCAAAAATATCCCAAGTGCTAGAAATCAGAGCTGTGCTTACTTGTGAGTGATGAATAGCTAGAACATGGTGGAGGAGAAAAATATCCTGAGGTGACAGCAATATTCTGTGCCCCAGTGTATTTTGTCAGAGCAAAAGATATAAACATTCCATTCATATGTCACAAATGGAACAATCCTCCAAAAATCAAGAAAATTTTATAAAAAGTAATGACATTAAAATTAATTTCTACATCCCTTAATTAAATGACATGGGAAAGTTAATAAAAATATGAGCTAAAATATTTATCATAAACATGGTAAAGAAATTACTTCATATACAGAATTCCAAATCAAGAAAAGAAACAATACAACTTTCTTTTAATTAACCTGATCAAGTAATTTAAATGAATATATATACATATATAGGAATATATATGTGTGTATATATATATATGAATTCTGCTGTCAAGCAATTCTTGAAATTTTTTTTGTCATTTAGCCAAATGATCCATATTTCAATGTCCAATGTATATGATAATCATAATCAAAGATGTTTAAATAAATCTAAACTTTACATACAAGCATAAAGTAAATCCTAACAGTGAAATAAAACAAAGTGAGTTATTTATTGAATTGAGATAGAAGTCATTTTCTCAGATTAATTATATTAGAAAAAGCTCTTTTAACTTCAGGAGTTTTCAGATGAATAATCACTACATAAGTTAAAGCATAGCCATAGAGTGAAACATTACATTTATTGAGAACTTTATTCTCAGGGAATAATAGCATGTGAAAGAGCATATACTATAACAACAGTAACAAAAATGCTAAATATTGTATATTCAAAATAACAACAATTTGTATGACTATGTTCACAAAGTTATGTGCACTCTAATGAGGGTTAATTACCTCTACAATGAATAACAATAACTGATTTTTTATTTTTAAATATTTTCCATAGATACCAAAATAAATTTGATTTACTTGGAAATTATAACAGTAGTCAGGCTTTGGAAAATTTGAGATTATAAATTCGGTAAGAATTTTAAATGCTAGTGATTAATTAAAAAATGCAGGTATTCCAGTATTCCCATTTACAGAAGTCTGTGCATTGAGCACATTGCAATAGAATGTGAAATTTCTAGCCACATTACAATCAAATAAATTTTGATAAACTTCTAGTTAAAGTAGGGATAGAATCACATTTTCTAAAGAGTTCTATAAATTTTAACAAGCATGAGTCATGTTTTGTTTCACTGCTAATTATTTAAGGATATATCTAGATATACAATCATAAAATTCCTCATTGCATATCAGTTCCTTATGGTCCTGAATTAAGTGGTGTCCATTCCAATATCTCTGTACAGTAGAAATTTTAAAATAATATGTAAAATAGAAGAAGCTAGCAGTGTGTTTATTTCCTCTGTGTAAGGAGAGATTACATTTAAATCTTTAGCACTTCGTGTAACTTAAATAAAGCAATTTGTATTACACAATGGAGTAGACCAAATTCTTGGATATCTGTAATAAATCTAAAGTTTTTGCTCAGTTGTTCCTATAGATCCACGTTGACATTTTCCTCAGTGGTTCATACTGCGCCAGTATCTGAAGC